GGGCGCTGGGGGGGGCGGCCGGGGGCGAGGGGCTGGATGTGGATGGAGGAGTTGCCCGGAGGTGGGCAGAGGAGGCTGGGGGGAGCAGGGGGAGGAGGCGGTGCTGCAGGGGAGGCTCGGGGACAGCCTTGAGCCGTGTGGGGACACGGCACGCCGGGGCGCCCGGGGACGAGCCCCGCTGAAGGACTTTGCATCCCTGAAGGGGCCAAAGCTCCTGTTTCGAGACGGGGTCCCCAAAGCCGGTGCGGCTGAAGAGGGGCCCTGCAAACACCAGCTGGGCCCTTCGGCACCTGCCAAGCCTTTCTGCTGTTCCTTCATTCCCTGACCGTAAAACTCGCTGCTGGAAAAGCCACGCAGGACCAGGGTGGGATTTGCATTTCGGAGAACACAGGAGCACGTGGGGCTGCTGGGGGTGCCTTCGGACGCCGGCAGCGCGGGCAGCGTTCCCTCCTGGCAGCGACTTCTGCCTGTCACCTTGGTGCTGCGCCCTGCGAACTTCTGCGCCGAGATAATTAGTGGCCTTTGTTGCTCCTGGGGAATTGAAGCCGTGTGAGACAGAGGGCTTCAATCGAAGTTCCCGCTGTTCCCATGCTGGCGTTCGAGCGTTCCTGGAGATGAAAAATTACAGAGCTGAAAAAAAGAAAAAAAGAAAATCTGCTCGGAAAGCTGGAACTGGGAGCAGGGGCTCGCCTGCTTCTGCGCAACTGGAGCGCGGCGTGTGCGTCTGCCGCGGCGTGCCTGCCGCCGCACCGTAACCGCACTGCTGTCCTGGGCTTTGCCGCAGCTCTTCGCCGTCACCCGCGCGTCGTGCTCGGGAGCTTTCCTTCCAATTGTGGAGCGGCTCTGTGTGGAACCGCGGGAGCAGCGGCACGGGGGGGACAAGACAGCTGCTGCAGCTGGGGGGTTTTCAGTGCTTTTCCTCAAGAATTGGTAGTTTGGCTTAAAAATTGTCAGGTGCTGAAGGTTGCGTTTGGGAAGTTTACTGGCAGGGTCAAGTCGTGGAGCTTCCCTCGTGTACGGCTGAGCTGTGCGAGCGAGGCGAGACCGTCTGCCTGAAGCATGGCGAGGGCTTCTGCGTCCTCCCTGTGCCGCGTGTCGCTGCCAAAGAGCGGCGCGGTCGGGTGACAGGAGGATTCAGCCTCAAATCCAGTGACCGAACGTCTTAAACCACGAATCGGTCGCTCTTGAGTTGCCGCTTGTTATTTTTTAACATATTTACTGGTGGCTTTTTATGCCGGAGAGGTGTTTTACCAGGCAGGCTTTGCAGAACGCCAAGGTGTACGTGTGCGCGCGGGAAGCAGGCTGTCCGAGCCCCTCTCTGAACAAGCGAGCCTGGCATCCTCCCCTGAACCTCTCCCATCGTGATAAGCGGGACTTAAAGCAAGGGCTTAAGCAAACGGTAGACTGTTGCACTTGTCAGCGCCTTAGTTCAGTGCCAGCAGCAGATGGGAAACCTCTTCCCTCTAAAAACGTGGAAGATTTGAAGCCTCTGATCCTCAAAAGTGAAATTCCTGTTTTTCAGTCCGGTGGGAAACAGCTTTTGGGGCTGGCTGAGAGGGCGTCGCGAGGAGGCAGCCGATAAGGAGGTGCGCGCAGGGCTGTGCTTATCCCTGTGCTGTGATTCCACAAAGTCCGCGTCCGTCGGGACAAAATCCCTCTGCTTGTGTTGTCCTGAGCTCTCGGCAGCCCTTTGGGCTGCGCGGTGGAGATCCGAAAGCAGTTTCGTGTTTCGCTGGGTGCGCCCGCACGGGATAAACGCCGAGTGCCTGCTTGTAACTCAGGCTGTCCTCAAAGGTTTCATTTACAATTATCGAAGCGTTTGATCGGTCGGGGCCTTTCTGCTCCCTGCCTGTTGTTGCTGCGCTGTTTTATGAGCAGGAGAAACGAGGAACTGAGATTCCAAAATTTCCTCAGACTTTCACGAAAGGGCCCTGCCTCTTCAAAACCTGCCTCAGGTGAATGGCCAGGCTCTCGGCGCTCTTGAGATTTACCTTCCAGTTGTTTCAGGTTGTTCCCAGTGGGTGATGTGAAACGAATACTGGGGCTGTGGGAAAGGTGAGATGGGGTCCCGGGCGTCCCGGACCCTCAGCCCCCGTGCCTCTGCCCGGTGCTGTGTGCAGCAGATGCTGTTGGTTTCGATGGCCAAAACGCAGCGGAGCCGCACAACAGGAGCTGTAGGTTGGTCTGTAGCTTGGAACTGAAATCAGCAGCTGCTTATTCTCCATCCTCGAGATGTTCTCCTTACCTCCTTCCCAGATTTAGCGGGTAAGGAGATTACAACCGGCTCGTGGCAGGGCGGCTGGGACGCGTGCCTGGAGATCCTCCTGTCCCTCTGCTTCTGGACTGCGAGAAACAGGCGGTGTCGGGTTTTGCATTACAGGTGAGCGCAACCATTGCCTTTTCGTGGAGGGAGGTAATTCTCTTGACCGTCCCGGTGACGGGGATCCCAGGTTTGTGGTGGCTTTGGGGCGTTATCCCCTGCCGAACACTGGGGAGCGGTGTGAGTTTCTTCCAAAGGCCACGACGCCGTGTCCGAGGAAGGAATTAGACTTTAGTCATAGATATCCAATTTCTCCCAGTCATCACCCAGAGGGAGTTGGGGTTTTTTGAGCTGTTTGTGAGTTATGGAGCAGGCAGAGGGCAGAATATGTCATTCTTGATTCCTTATTTTTTTACAAGAACAGTTTATTCTAAGAGCTCTAGCTGGTCTCACACAGCGGGTCCTGGGCTGGTACCGGCAGCGGGAGTGGGTTGGTGCTCAAGGCTTGGTGGAGGAGACCTTCAGATACTTCGGTCATCCTCGTGGTTCTTGCCTAACCCTTCTCTGGTCTGGCAAAGGGAGATTTAAGAGCAGAGGCTCTTCAGCCTAGCTGACGGGGATAGAAAGGGACCCAAAAATTGGTTGTTAAAACGAGACAAACCCAAACTAGAAACAGAGCGAACGCCTAACGGCGAGAGCAGGTGCTTCCTGGCACCATCTCTCGC